TGCATGCACCCCTGTGCCTTCTCATGCTCTTGTGTGAGGACATAAAGGAGAGAATGGTCCCAATCTCTCAGTTCTCTTGCCATTCGAAGCCTGTGTTAGTTGAGGACTCTGAAAGTGACGATGGAGGGGTGTTTGTGAGATCCACAGTGACTACAACATCTCGAAGAACCATAGTTTCTTTAGAGTGATTGTTCTTTCTTCTTTGAGTATGTCTCAGTGTGGATCCTGCTGTAGGTGACTAGCAATCACTTCCCCTCAGGATGGTGAGAGTGAAGAGTTTCAGCTGCATCAGCGATTGGAGAACTGTTCCCCTAAACTTGGTGGCTGCTCTGGCTGCCATATCAAGAAAATAAGATCAGAAAGTTTCTGAAGCAGGTGACAGATGCAGCTTGTGCTCTGGTGGAATGTGCCTGGATATTTGAATGAAAAGGCTCTCCAGCCAACTGATAACCGGTGGAAACGCATTACATGATCCACTTGGAAATTCATTGTGGTGAGATGGCTTGGCCTTTGGACGAACCAGAAATGACCACAAAGTGGCAACGAGTCAGACAAAACTTCGTCTTGGTCTCATTATGGTAATACAGCAGAGCTGTGGATATGTCTAAAGTGTGCTGTTTCTTCTCTACCATTGGTGAGTGTGGCTTTGGGAAGAAGACTAGCAAGCTAATTGATTGATTTTTGTTGATAGTCTAGACCACCTTGGGGATGAAATTGGGGTGTAGTCTGAGTACCACCTTGTCCATATGAAAGACTGCAGTCCAGCTATGAGAGTCTAGCGTTCACTGACTCTCCAAGCTGAGGTGATAGCCACCACAAAGATCCTCTTGATGGTAAGGGGTGCATGGTGTATTCTGTCACTGGTTCAAAGGGTGGGTCCGTATGCTTCAGAAGAATAACAATGAGGTCTCATGAGGGAATCAGGTCCTTAAATGGAAGGCTAATATGAAGAAGGCCCTTAAAAAATGTCAGTATTTTTGGGTGTGACTGTGCTGGCGTGTGACACATTGATAAAGCTGCCAAATGGACTTTGAGAGAATTAAATGATAGTTTTGCCTGTTTCAGAAACAACATAGTCTAGGATCTTCAGCGTTGCTGCCTCAACTGGGTCCAAACCATGTTGGGCTGCCCATATAGAAAATCTTTTCCACTTCGAGGCATAAGTCTTCCTGGTGGAGTATTTTCTGCTTTGTATGAGAATCTTTTGAACCTGTAGGGAGCCGTCTCTGTCAGTATTGTTCAAACAGCCAACATCTGAGCCATCAGGTGTAACAACTGTGGGTCTGGCTGCTGACCTTGATTCTGTGATATGTCCAGGGAGGCCAGGAAATGAATGGAATGGCACGGGGCCATCTGTAGCAGATGTGATAGTCAAAACTGTCTTGGCCAATAAGGGTCTACCAGGATGTCTGTAGCCTTGTCCCTCTTGATCTTGGACAGTATCCTGGAGAATTGTTGGCAAGGCATATATGAATCCTCCAGATCACTGCAAAGGAAAAGCATCTGGCAATAATCCCAGGCTCATGCCTCTTCTGGAACAGAAAGTCATGCATTTGACATTGTCCCTTGTGGTGAATAAGTCTATTATGGGGGTCCTTCCGGGGTAGAATATGAGGTCTATGATAAACTCCTTCAGTGACCCCTTGTGGTTAGTCGCTGGGTGACTGCTTAAGAAGTCTGCCAGGCCTTCACTGAGCCCTAGGAGGTTTAGACCCAGTGGGACTATCCTGTGTTGATGTCACCACTTCTATAGCCTGATGGTTTCTTGGCAGAAGAGGGGATGATTGGGCACCTCCTTGTCTGTTTACATAGTGTATCACCAACATGTTGTGTTGCAGGATTTGCACTGCGGCGTTCCACAGAACAGGCAGGAATGCTATGAAGGCCAGTCTGATGTCTCCCAGCTACTGGACATTCATGTGTAATCTCAGGTCATCCATACACCATGCCCCTGCATCTGTAGGTGGTTCATCTGGGTACTCCAGCCCACTGAAGCATCTGTGATAAGTGCCCGTTGGGGACGGGCAGAGAATGGGACCAGAGATGGCAATGTCGGTACCAGTGCCAGCACAAGTTTCTTTCTTAACACAATTTTTTCTGCACCAGTCTTCAACAGAGATGCTGGATAATGCTGGCTTGTCCACTCACAGGATCTCAGGGTCTGATGAGACTCATGAATTGTTCCAGAAGATGGCATTTGGCCCCATGTCCCCCTAAACAGAAGAGGCACCTCCTATGTCCATCTTTTAAGGGGATTTGTCCATAGCAGGATGGATAGGGTTTGATGCTGGTAGGTTTAGGTCTGCCAAGTTAAGAAGCGCTGAGCATGAAGATGTGTACAGGGGAATCTAGCTGTTGATACTCAGATAAGATGGGTTGATATGAACACAACAGTCAAATATAAAGATAATCAAAAGAATTCTGAAGAAATTAAAAAGGTTTAGCCAAAACTAAGAGCTAGTGGGTTAGAAACTTGCCAGATTCTGTCTCACTGCAATAAATAAGAAGAGGGACCTGAGGGTGGGTTGCAGTCGCTTCACTCTTTATGCCTTCGCATAGGAGCATGAGGAGGCACATGGTACATGTGCAGCCCCAACAGACACTGCTACTTTAAAATGTCCAGTCCCGTGCACATGGGGCGCATGAGCACCTTGAGTGGCTCTACACTGACACATCCTTGAAGAATGTTAATTTTTGTATGTTAGCAAAACCCTAAAAGGTCACTCAGCAGCATAAGGACATAGATAGCAAGAGGGAAGCTTCCATTTTCCACACAAGATTATTATTAGAAATTTCAAGTACCATAGCCCAGCCAGATAGTGATGTAATTGGGCTGCCAAACATCTTGCTAACAACTGTCAGTCAGAATGCTAATGCTGTGACTGCTACATGTGGGATCAAATGTTCTGTAGTAGTAGATTCCCTCCATAACACCACCTTAAGTGATTGAACAACTAAGTATGAAAGCCAGAGGCAAAAAAATCTCTCCTGCACCACTTGCTTTTTATACATCTCGGAACAAGTTATGTGCTTAATTTAGCTTTGTTCTCCTATCCCTATTTCCAATAATAATAATAAAAAAATCTAAACAGCATGAAGAGTTAAAGGAGATAACAGCATCCTGCTTTTCAAAAGTTTCTCAGTATTTACACTATGATGTGTCTTACTTGCAAAAAAGAAAGTAATTAATTAGTTGCCAAAACCCCATGGGTGCTGATGTCAGTCAACTGTATATTTAATGAGGACCAATTAGTTATTTCTTTTCCTGTGACAGACCTTACAGAAGTCAAAGATCAACTATTCTTCTTTTCCCTGAGGCCTTTTCTTTACAGCCACCTACAATTTCTAGAGCAATATACTCCCACTGATACAATAGAGCATACACAGAAGAGCTAAATGATGTGGCTGATTGGTGGAAAGGATACCTTACGGTACATTATATATATATATACACACACACACAGGAAAACCTTACTTCCCTTATTTCTAAAGAGGAGAAATTATTCTAGAGTAAAATAGCTTTTGTTCTTGAATAGAATATCCAGATGGGGAATTACAGCAAAAGAGCTATAAAGGAATATATCACTTTCCCCTTGTGTTGAACCTAAACTCTGAATATGTTCAGAGGTTTGACTAACACTATTTTTTGCAGTTCTGTGCAGTACACACTGCATTTTATTAGTGGTTTATGGCCTTCTGGGTGTTAAAATTAATACTGCATCTTTATTGAGTCAATAAATTAATATTTCAGAAATGGGGGGCGGGAATCACATATTTGGAAAACAATTTCAACCTTTTCTTAGCAACATTGTCCGGTGGAATTTTAGGATCATAGGCTTCAGAATTTCTCTTTGTTGTCATTTTTTCCTTCCCTAAGTCTCACATCTTAGAACTGCACCTAATTGTATAATGAGTATCACTTAATAGTAGAAATTTGGTAATAACAGTGATATTTCGAGACTTTTAAAGATGGGAAAAGGAGAATGAATAGAGGATGATAGCAGTGAAGATAAATGGGACATAGGAGGTGTAAGCTGGTAAGAGAATAGGAGGCAGGAGAGAACAGAAAAATTGAGAGACTAGAGGAGGAAACACATCTTGTTGCAACCATTTTTTCCTCTTGCGCTCCTCTATTTTAGAAAGCAAGTCATTCTCTTATTCACCCAGAACAGAGCAAGAGACTAGAGAGCTGGAAGGAACCTACAATATTTTTACAGACGGAGGCAACATTTTAAAATAACATAATGCTATGACTCTGATGTCCTCGATTTGCTATGGTTACTCTTGTTCTTCACTAAAATCTCTAGGGAACAAATTTTCAAAGGAACCACCTGCTAAAACATGAATGGACACACTAAGTCTCCTACGTAACCCCTCCCCTCCCCCAAATACCATGAGTTTCCTAATGGAACTCTTGAGTATAGACAGAGTTGGCTTTACATAAATAAATCAAAAACATCCTCCATGCTTATTCAAACATAACTGGGTGCAATAATGAAAGAAGAGTAAAACAAAATCTTGGTGATAAAGCAGACAATTCATTTTAAGGTGCTAAAGAAGGGCAGGCCTTTTGTTCAAAATGCTCCTACTAAATCAAATGAGATGGCACAGAAATTTAATCAGAGTGGCTTTGCAAGAATTCTTCTCTACTTCACCCCCCTCCAAGATGTGGAGCTGAAATATAGAGAGTTCATTAAAATACCTGACTGGGTTCTCATTTTCCTGTATTACTATCCACAGGAGTTATCTTATGTAATTCATAAAGATTGGTGATCTACTTCCCCTCTTCACTGAAGAAATAAATCATGAATTAATCTCATGCTTTGGATTCTAATGCTATGCTTGATTTCCTTGCTTCTCTCTCTAGTAATGCTTGTGTTTTGCTGAAGAATAAATATGAATATAAATGTACATGTAATGGAGAGGATAACTACCAGTTAAAATGCATCAAGGGAAATTATCACCACCATATTGTACAGAAATCAAATGAGCATCCATACCTAATCTGTTGGATGGGTTCCTTTTGAAGAGGGCTCTCAGCAAACTTTGGGCTTCTATGCTCAAAAACTGAGGCATTCCTAGCTTGGCTCTGAAAGAACAGAACACTTGAAAAGAAAAAAATATTTTTCAAAAAATTTCAAATCCACACCTGCATTTTATAGGGACATGCAGACACCCATACACATTTGTCACCAAAGATATAATACCTAGACAGATTAGATAGCTCACAAATGGAGGGGCCAGTCCTGCACCCATCGAGGTTAAAGGAAGTTTTACCATTGATGTCACTGGGAGCAGCTCCTGACCGGAAGCACATAACATCACCTTATAGTTAATGTTGCTCAAGGGTTACTAATTCTAAGGGTTCAGAGTGGTAGCCGTGTTAGTCTGTATCAGCTAAAAGAACAGGAGTACTTGTGGCACCTTAGAGACTAACAAAGGTATTTGGGCATAAGCTTTCGTGGGCTAAAACCCACTTCATCGGATGCATGCAGTGGAAAATACAGTAGGAAGATATATATACACACAGAGAACATTCTGTGGGGACATTCCGTTAATTCTAAGGGGTCATTTTCAGCTATTTATTATCTTTTTTCAGTTTTACCTTTCTGGATTAAATTTGGCAGGTTTGTTCTCAATCCAAGAGCAAACTTTTTGGAATGTTTGACCCAAAATGGCCTAGACATTTTCAAGAATGAAGAGCGTGATGATAAAATACACATTTTGCATTATTAAAAATTGTAATTGGTTTTTAATAGCTCTGGTGCTTCAGTGGTAGACTGCAGAAATAAGTAATTTGGCAGGGATTATGTTTTCAGTCGTGCAAACATTTATGCACATGCTGAGCATTAAATCAATGTCAGGTTTGCAAAGGAAAGGACTCGAAAGTCAGGAATGACAACGTGCATGTTGTTTGTACAACTTATCTCTGAACCCTTTTATATATGCATCGTCATACAGTCTTGTATTATATGACCACATATATTTTTTCTGCAAGCCCCCCTCTCCCCCCCACACACAATGGAATGCTCACAGACCTGCAATACACAGTTTCTGGTTATTTACTCTGGGTGAATTACCTAGCGGATTTAGGCACACAATAACTGACATTAGTAGGAGTTGCACATCTAACTCCCTGTGCAGCTTTTAAAATCTCAGCCTCTATGTATATTTGTTCTTGTTCTATATATTTTATGCAGTTAAATGTACTTAGGACCAAAGGCCCATCCAAGGAAGAGAGCTAACAAGTACTTAGTAGATAAACCAAACAGACATTACTACTTACTTGAGAATGAGAGCCATTGTCTCCTTTCTGTCTTTTCCCTGGAATGGTAATGACCCTGTCAGCATCTCAAACTGTAGAACAAAAATAAAAATGGTAAATCAAATAAGCACATACAGTATTTATGTAAGACTCCATCTGACAGTGCACCATACTATAATACCTTCCATTACCTTGTTTCTATTAATTTCAAACACCAATGCTTATTTTGTAAAAATGTACTATTTATGCTAAAAAAAAGGTCTAAAAAACTGTAGCTATACAAAAAGATATTTTATTATGGTAAGTCCATTTCTACTGTGTAAGACATCAGAGACCAAGACTATATTTCAGTTCAAAGGGCTGCCTAAGGAACTGTTATCATCAGTAGCATGGAGAATCATGCACTAGTTGAGATGCACAAAAATCTGGTGCTCACAGGGTTGCATGAACTTTTTTCCACCCGTGTTGGTGCACCTGGGTTCATTCCCCCATGACTTTTGCTTTGAGTTTCAGGTTTAAATGAACCCACAAACTCAAAGCAAAAGCCCAGCAGTGGTCATCAATTTTTGACTGGCTTCCATCTGAAAGCATAAATCAGCCAGCATTCCTCTGAAATACAGTGATTCTTTCAGCAAACCTGACTGGAATGTCACATTTGTAACAAAAGCCCAAATCAAGGGAGCTTGCCTAGTTGGAGTTGAATTCTGAGAGTTTCACACAGCGCTAGTCACTGCACTGTTTGCATGTACAAGTAGTAGCTGATTCCCCAAGATAAGCAATGATGGGTATTGTGCACTCCAAAATAGGGATCAGGGACATAATTCAGCTCTGCCGTAAATCAGGACAACTTCCACTGAGGTCAATAGGCATTCTTGTCCGCTTATGTCAGCACCAAGTAAGGTCTTGGGTCTTTTAACAGTAAATAAATACATACTGTTTAATATTCGCAGTTATAATTAAGCACATATTTACAAGTGCCATATTCTGCCACCCTTCTGTTGAGTTGTACCTTACCAGAGGAGTAGCTCCTTTGATTTCCGGGGGACTACTTGTGCATTAAGGTACTATTCAATGTTAATAAGGGGAGCAGAATCTGACTCTTAGCTGGACTCCCCCCTTTTCAAATGAAATAGATCAATAATTCCCCCAAGTACTTCATAATAATATTTAGCACTCACGGCGACTTTTCAAACCTCACTCTCTCAAAGCACGTTATAAAAGAGGGCAAGTCGCATTATCCCAACTGGGGAAACAGAGGCATAGAAAGGCAGAATGATTTGCCCGAAGTCAGAAAACAAGCCATTGTCAGAACCTGTAGCAGAACCCAGGTCTCCTGGCTCTCAGTCCAGACGCTTAAGTGCTAGAGCATGCTTCGTCCTATTTGCCTTTCTTTAATGTACAACATTTTTAATTACTTTGTGCTAGTTGGTAAATATTAGTTTAGGAGCAATATCTGCTCTGCTTTGATTAACACAAATGATGATTAAATACTAAATTTAGTTTAGAGTTATACTCTTATATCCATTTCAGCAATTTAAAAGATATAAAAGGGAAAACATAAAAGCCCTAAGGAATGGCTACCGTGTGTTTTAAAGGATAATGGCTTTTTAAAAACTGTACAAAACTCCCAATGATTAAAAAAACCCAACCCATAGGAAGTACAAAGAAATTACTATTATTTTCACCCTGAAATTTAGAAAAATAAAAGCTAAACCCTATTGACTTCAATGGGGCAACACCATTGCGCAGAGTTCCACCAGCAGAAGGGAGGGCAGAATTTGAATCTCTAAATCAAATTTCAAGATGATAGGCAGGAATGTTTCTTGCTGGATCAATATGTTTTTCCTTGAGGAGATATGTGCATATGGCAGGTAAGAGAACTTCCTATGATAAAGAGAGATGAAACAGAAATATTCAGACAAGGTAAAACTCCAGTGAGATCAGGGCATTTCTTAAAATTGAAACTCATTGCAAAGTGCCATTGTACTAGATTCACTTCCCGTGGTATCTTAACATCTGCTCTTCAAAGCTGAAGTTGCAATTTTTATCAAATAAATATTCTGACTTTTATACATATTTCATTAAATATATGCTAACTGGCTTTAGGGTGACCAGACAGCAAGTGTGAAAAATCAGGATGGGGGTGGGGGGTAATAGGTGCCTATAGAAGAAAAAGCCCCAAATATCAGAACTGTCCCTATAAAATCGGGACATCTGGTCACCCTAACTGGCTTTTGTCTTCTCTCATAAGCACCTCATTTTAAACTCTTAACAGTAGTTGGGGCTATTCAGACATTACTGCTTGAAATTCAAGTCTTCTATTCTGTATAGATATTTAAATCAGGTCACATTTAAAAGTGACAATTTATCAACCACACTGGAACATTTTGCATATTAAATCTTCAGTTCAGACATGGTTTCCCCAGCACTAAGTTATCCAATGCAAATAGAAATCAAGCCTAATTTCACCTCTGAGACCCATAGCACAATGCGTTTGGCAGTGTCTGCATAGCAATAATTCATGAAGCCATAGCCTGCAAAACCAAGTTGCCAAGTTACTGGGGGCTAATTTCATTTAAAATGTCCAAAACCATGTACCATTCTATTCTGAAACAGTTCCTCTTCCTTACTAGCAGTGCTAGCAGCCTGAAGGGGAGAGGTGTGACAGACTAATATATCTTCATAAAATAAATACATAAATAAATAAATGGTGTCCTTTTACCTCTTTACTCCTTTAGCATTCTGGTCATGGACTTTCTAACCAGTCAGCTGTATTTTGCAGTTCTCATTATCATTCACCACTCCTCTGGCCAATAAGGTGTAATGGTCACTATGAAAACCTTATCAACAGATGCTACAGTATTGGCCATACCAAAACAACTGCATTTCCTGTTTTAAATAGAGGGAAGTTCTGTGGCTTAAAGGGAAAGCTTTCATGCCCATGTCATGCCCGAACTTATAAAAGCCTAGGCACAATCAGAACTATGTCAGGAGGCTATTTGAATTATAAGGGCACTAAAATGCTTTCTTCAGCAATCATAGTCACCAGGAAAAGTACCTGATGATTTAATAACTTGGACCACAGAGTAACAAAACCATTACATTGTTATAACAGTTTTGTGGGGAGGAAACAGAAGGAGAGGGAGAGTTGAGGCTTAACCTTAGAAAACAACGAGCTCCCTGAAGCTACTGAAAACAGGTACTTGAAAGGAGACAAAGGACTTTCAAATATGTGTGGACAATTATAAGCCAGACTCAGAAAACAAAGGGACAGAAAAGTGAGGAAGGGTGGTTGGTTTGGAGGGTCAGAGAGAAGTAGCTGTTTTATTAGAGGGGAATAAGATTTTGGGTAAAATTCACAGACGTGCCTAAGTGACTTAGGGGCCAAAGTCCTATTAGACTCAGACTCATAGACTTTCAGGTCAGAAGGGACCATTATGATCATCTAGTCTGACCCCCTGCATGATGCAGGCAACAGAAGCTGACCCAACCCCTTTCCCTTGACTCTGCTGTTGAAGTCCCCAAATTCTGTGATTTAAAGACTTCAAGTCGCAGAGAATCCTCCAGCTAGCGACCCCTGCCCAGCAAGCGACCCCTGCCCCATGCTGCGGAGGAAGGCGAAAAACCTCCAGGGCCTCTGCCAATCTACCCTGGAGGAAAATTCCTTCCCTACCCCAAATATGGCGATCAGTAGAACCCCGAGCTCGTAGGCAAGATTCTCCAGCCAGACCCTCATTGGCCATTGATACTATTTACCAGCGATGGCACGCTGTTGATTTGACTAATATCACGTTATCCCATTGAAAGCACCCAAGTCATTTTAAAAAATGAGACTTAAATACCCTTCCGTTAAGTGGTAAGAAAAGGAATATGCATTATACTGAATTGTCTCCATATTTTTAGAAGCATGGATGTTTAGATATCTAACACATTATGTTTTTCATGCTTTCTTTTCCTGTGAGCTTCTTGCTCTTAAAATCCTAATTTAAGAAAATTAAAAGTGGCTGCAGTTTGTTCATTTTGGTATAAGACATAGCCTGACACATTCGAGGCAGGAGACAGTAATATGAGTGACAACCTGGCTATTGGCCACGGAGGAAGAAAAAGACCGCAGCTTCTGCTCATCAGGGAGACCATAGAAAGACCTGTATTTGCAGTGTGGACACAGAAGGCAAATCAGCCTGCAAGGCAGAGTGATAGCTCAGGGTGCAGGGACAGGGGTAGCTAGGGGTTATGTGCAGGCAGGGGGTAGCTCAGGGTGCATGGAGAGATGAGTAGCTAGGGGCTGTGTGTAGGCAGGGGGGTCGCTCAGGGTGCAGGGAGAGGGATAAGTAGGAACTGTGTGCCCAGAGGGCACCCTCCCCCAGCATTTGCTGCTCACTGAGGGCTCTGCCAGCCCAGGAGCCAGCATCCTGCCTGCACAGTGTTCTTTAAAAAAAATAAAATAAAGACAGAGACATTTGTTGACTGGCATTAGGGAGCTGTGCTAGTAACTCCCTTGAGCACCATACAGAACATTTACCACAATGTCTCAATCACTAGTACTTTGTTACCACATTTCTACAATTACATGGTTCTAATATAAAGATGAAATCAAATTCAAAAGACATGCACTTAACATCAATATTTAAAAGTCAGTGCAGTGCGGCTCCAGCACATTGTATGCATCAATGCTTTTTCCTTCAGTGAACTGAAACAAGGCAGGATCTGAAAGAAAGCATTGATGTTTCTGTAACGGCAATGCCATTGTGTTTAACATAATGTTGAAGAAGGTTAGCAAACATTAAGTAAACAGAAAAACATCCTTGTAAATTGAAATAGCTTATGTCTTCACCAGCTAATGCCACTGCACAGCACACCCCCAGTTTCCTGTTTATTATCAAAGGATTAAGAATTCAGTTCAATACTGAACATGAGACTTGACAAAAAGAGTTAGCCCTCACAGCTGACACCCCTGCACATAGATACACTGCTTCTGATGGTCACAGCAGATTGACTGGGTGTCAGGCCTAGGAGTAAACAAACTGCAGGATTAGGGTGATGTGAGTTGACACCAAACCCATCACAGAACCCTGCAATTCTGCTGAGAGAT